TCAGCCCCCCCCCCCCTTCTGCCCCCACCCCCCCCCCCTTTTTTTTTTTTTACTACTTTTGAGTAGCTATTTTGTGAAAGGAACTTTACATATATAGCCATATGCTGCATAAATGACATTTTGGCCAGTGAGGGACTGAAATACCATGTAGTACCGTAAGATTATAATTGGCTAGGCCATATGGCCCAGGTGTATAGCAGGCTATGTCATTTAGGTTTATGTAAGTATATTCCCTGTTCAAAGAATGATGAAATTGCTTAATGGCACATTTCTTTCTTTCTTTCTTTAAGAATCATTTTATTATTTATTTATTTTGATTTGACCAGAGAGAGATGGGGGTAAGAGGAAAGCAAGCTGCCATGTCTGGGTCTTGAACCACAGTTGACCATGTGTGAGTCTAGCACCCTTAAGCACCATGCCACCTGCCGGCCTCCCAATGGCACATTTCTCAGAATGCATCCCTTCATTAAGCAACACATGACTGTGCTGTCTCACGTAGTCCTCACTACTACCGAAGTTCAGTTAAGTTGCCCATAGTCATGGAGTTTGTAGATAGAAGAGGCAAATTTCAAATTTAAAATTGGGGCCAGCCAGTGGTGTGGCTGGATCCCATATGACTGTGAGATTTGGGTCCCAGCCCTGGTGGCTTGGGAAACATGTGGGGCACATGTGCATGTTTGCCAAAAGTCCCTAGAGGAGAATGGCGGAGAAGGGATTATGGTATGGCCATCCCCCTGGGGGATAATTTCTTTTTTTTGGGGGGGGGGAGAGGTTTTTTTGCTATAGGGCATATGCACTTGCCAGACAGACAGAGACAGACAGAGAGACAGAAAGTGAGAAATCCCCCCCCAGGGGGGATGGCCACGCCCCAGTCCCTTCTCCTCCATTCTCCTCTTGGGATCTTGGGCACGCATGCACACGCACCCGGCGTGAGTTTTAAGCCACCGGGTCCTGGATGCGAACCACGGCCAACTACATGGGAGTCTAGCAACATAGCCATTAAGCTAACTGCTGGTCCCATGGGGAATAATTTCTTAACTCTCCCTCTCTCTGTCTCTCTCCAGCAAGTGCACTGCCCTATAGCAAAAAACCAAGAAATAAAACCTTAAAATCGTTAAGTCTTTGGGACCAGCAGATGGCATAATGATTGTGTCACTGAACTCCTACGTAGTCAGCTGTGGTTTGAGTCCCGTACCCGCAGCTTAAAACCCACACCGGTTGTGTGTACATGTGTGCCCAAAATCCTGGGAGAAGAATGGGGAAGGAATTGTGTCTTGGCCCAGAGGGTCATTTCTCACTTTCTGTCTTTCTGTCTCTCTGGCAAGGACATGTATCCTATAACAAAAATCTCTTTCAAAAAAAAAAAAATGAGTAAGTCTTTTTTTGTGTACTTCACAGCTGTCAATATTAAAGTAGTTACTTATCACTATTCTATTTTTTTTTTTTTTGGAGAGGTTTTTTTGCTATAGGGCTCGCCAGATAGACAGAGAAACAGAAAGTGAGAAATCACCCCCGTAGGGGGGATGGCCACGCTGCAGTCCCTTCTCCTCCATTTTCCTCTTGGGATCTTGGGCACACACGCACATGCGCCTGGCGTGAGTTTTAAGCCACCGGGTCTGGGACGCGAACTGCGGTCAACTGCGTGGGAGTCCAGCGACATAGCCATTACGCTAACTGCTGGTCCCGTCACTGTTCTATTTTTTTAGAGTTGACTTATGTTTATTTCCAGATTTCCAGATCTGAATCTTTTTTTTTTTTTCTTTCTTTCTTTTTTTTGGAGAGGTTTTTGCTATAGGGTGCGTGTGCTTGCCAGAAAGACAGAGAGACAGAAAATGATAAATCACCCCCCAGGGGGCATTGCCACGTTGCAATCCCTTCTCCTCCATTCTCCTCTTGGGATCTTGGGCACACATGAACGCACGCCCGGCATTGAGTTTAAGCCACCGGGTCCCGTACTTGAACCGTGGTCAACCTCATGAGAGTCAAGTGACATAGCCATTATGCCAACTCTTGGTCCCTGAATCCTTTTGTTTCTTAACGTATTCAGTAGATACTCATTGAGTATCTACCAAGTGCTAGAAACCATTCTAAATGCCTATCTTGGATGTCTTGGTGATCAGATCATCAAGAACTGGGCTAAGCAAGGTTAGAATGATCCTGCGTTCTTTATTTCAAAGCAGCTCTGCCTAGATTAACCCTCAGAGTCTATGCGCAGTACTGTTTGCATCTTTTTTATCCCACAGTGGCCTCAGATGAGCCAGTCTCAAGCATGTGTTGGATCAGAACAAATTCCTGGAATAGACGTACAGCAGAGTCGGCGGTATCACACCACAAACAAGGTGAGAGTTACTGATATCTATGTAGGGTGCTTTCACACATGTTCTCGTTTAGATCTAAACAAAGTTGTTAGCTAGGGGAGGCAGGGAGTTTTGGTGAATGCAGAAGGTGAGACTTGTAGGTCACTTTCCCAAGGTCACAGGGATGGTAAATGACAGTCCAATTGAGTGTTTGAAGCTAAGCCTTCTATGCCTATGTCCCATGTGTCTTCCATTGTGCTGTCTTGCTTATAAGACACTTTAGAAGAAGGACTTTGTGAAGTTTTAAAAGTTATTTATTTTCTCCTCCATTTTCCTCTTGGGATCTTGGGCACACACGCACATGCGCCTGGCGTGAGTTTTAAGCCACCGGGTCTGGGACGCGAACTGCGGTCAACTGCGTGGGAGTCCAGCGACATAGCCATTACGCTAACTGCTGGTCCCGTCACTGTTCTATTTTTTTAGAGTTGACTTATGTTTATTTCCAGATTTCCAGATCTGAATCTTTTTTTTTTTTTCTTTCTTTCTTTTTTTTGGAGAGGTTTTTGCTATAGGGTGCGTGTGCTTGCCAGAAAGACAGAGAGACAGAAAATGATAAATCACCCCCCAGGGGGCATTGCCACGTTGCAATCCCTTCTCCTCCATTCTCCTCTTGGGATCTTGGGCACACATGAACGCACGCCCGGCATTGAGTTTAAGCCACCGGGTCCCGTACTTGAACCGTGGTCAACCTCATGAGAGTCAAGTGACATAGCCATTATGCCAACTCTTGGTCCCTGAATCCTTTTGTTTCTTAACGTATTCAGTAGATACTCATTGAGTATCTACCAAGTGCTAGAAACCATTCTAAATGCCTATCTTGGATGTCTTGGTGATCAGATCATCAAGAACTGGGCTAAGCAAGGTTAGAATGATCCTGCGTTCTTTATTTCAAAGCAGCTCTGCCTAGATTAACCCTCAGAGTCTATGCGCAGTACTGTTTGCATCTTTTTTATCCCACAGTGGCCTCAGATGAGCCAGTCTCAAGCATGTGTTGGATCAGAACAAATTCCTGGAATAGACGTACAGCAGAGTCGGCGGTATCACACCACAAACAAGGTGAGAGTTACTGATATCTATGTAGGGTGCTTTCACACATGTTCTCGTTTAGATCTAAACAAAGTTGTTAGCTAGGGGAGGCAGGGAGTTTTGGTGAATGCAGAAGGTGAGACTTGTAGGTCACTTTCCCAAGGTCACAGGGATGGTAAATGACAGTCCAATTGAGTGTTTGAAGCTAAGCCTTCTATGCCTATGTCCCATGTGTCTTCCATTGTGCTGTCTTGCTTATAAGACACTTTAGAAGAAGGACTTTGTGAAGTTTTAAAAGTTATTTATTTATTTATTTTTTAATTGCTAGAGGATGCAAATGCTTGCCAGAGAGAGAGAAAGCACCCTGCAATGGGGTATGGTCACCCCATACCCTTTTCCCCTTTTTCTTTATCCTGTCAGGATTTTGGGTACACACATGTACCCAGCATGTTTTCAAGCTGCCAGTACTGGGACTCTAACTGTATTTAGGCATGTGGGATCTAGCTCCCTATACACAGCACTTAGCCATTGTGCTATTGAGCTGGCTCATGAATTTTTTTCTATGTTAAAAATCAGTAATACTGGGTCCAGCAGGTGGTGTAGTGGTTAAGGCGTTGGACTCCCACATGGCCGACTGTGATTCAAGTCCTGGACCTGGTGGCTTGAGACTCAGCCAAGTGCATGTCAATATATACCCAAAATCCTGAATGAAAAGTGGAGGAGAGGGGCTTGTGGCATGGGGGAGTGATTTCTCACTTTCTCTTTCTCTGTTTCTCTAGTGAGTGCATGGGCTCTATATCAAAAATCTCTCTTAAAAAAAAACCCAAAAAACCTAACTCTTAAAGAATTTCTTATTGGTTAGATAGCCTACTTTCAGAGAGATTTAGAATTACAACAGGTTTTTTTTCTGGAGTTGGTTTGTAAACTGTAACACTCATATCTTCTATATTCATTAGTAAATTTTGTTGGGAAATCATTATTTTGCACACTAAAGCATGCAAGTTTTTAAAAACATTTATTCAGGAAGCAGGTAGGTGGTGTGGTGGTTAAGACATTGGATTCCCACATGGTTGACCACAGTTTGAGTCTTGGACCTGGCGGCTTGCTTTCTTGCTTCCCCTTTCTTGCTCTCTCTATGGTCATATTAAAAAATAATAATAATAACAAATGGAATTAAGTAATTAAAAAAGTTATTTAGTGCTTGCTGTGGTTCGTTGTGTCCCTGAATGACTTTCTTTTCTTTACTCATGATAGAGTACATACATGGGCATGTGAGAGTGAAAGTAGGTAGGTAGAGATGGACATCTTCCACAGGATCTGATAACACTGTGATCCTCTCTCCATTCCTCCAATCCATTAGATCTTCAGCATGCATCTGCATGCCCCACATGTTTCAGGCTGACTGGGCTGGGGATTCAAACCATGTTAACCAACCATGTGAGATCTGGCTTCTCTTTTTTTTCTTTTTGGAGAGGTTTTTGTTATAGGACGCGTGTGCTTGCCAGACAGACAGAGACAGACAGAGAGACAGAAAGCGAGAAATCACCCCCCCAGGGGGGATGGCCATGCCGCAATCCCTTCTTCTCCATTCTGCTCTCGGGATCTTGGGCACGCATGCACTTGCACCCGGCGTACGTTTAAGCCACCGAGTCTGGGACTTGAACTGCGGTCGACTACATGGGAACCCAGCGACATAGCCATTACGCTAACTGCTGGTTCCAGATCTGACTTCTCTTGAGCAGCACATTACTGCTTGAATGATTTTGATTGCTTTCTAACTGTATTTTCTTTCTCTATCTTATTACATCAGTAAATATGAAAGCATTACTTATAATTGTTCTTTGAGAAAGGGAGGTCAAGATTTAAAAGTACTTGGTGACATGGTGGTTAAAGCACTGTACTCCTACATGGCTGGCTGTAGTTCAAGTCCTGGACCTGGCAGCTTGAAAATCACACTGGGCACATGCATGTGCATACTCAAAATCCCAAGAGAAGAGTGAGAGAAAAGGGATTGCAGTGTGGCCATCCTTCTTAGGGGGGATTTCTTACTTTTCTTCTTGCTGTCTCTCTCTGATGAGGATATGTATCTTATGGCAAAAACCTTAAAAAAAAAAAAAAAGATTTAAGAATACTTTTTTTTTAAAGAGAGATTTTTGCTATAGGGCACCTGTGCTCGCTAGAGAGAGACAGAAAGCAAGAAATCACCCCCTGGAGGGATGGCTATGCTGCAGCCTTTTCTCCTCCATTCTCTTCTTGGGATTTTGGGCATGTACACATAAGTGCCCGGTGTGAATTTCAAGCCGCTGTCTGGGACTTGAACCACAGTCGATTATGTGGGAGTCCAACAATGTAATGTAATCCTTACACCATCTGCTGGTTCTAAAAGTACTCTTTTTGATAGCACTTTCATTTTGATATCCTAAATCAATCATTTCCTTGATATAGGTTCATAAACATTACTCTGAAATTTGTAGGACATCTCTTAAATACAGCTTCATATGTGTTTGCATTGAGTGATAAGATGCCTAAAATGGGAGAATTAAAAATTGTAGGTGAAAAAAAATCTAAGCAATAAAAATGACCTCACATGTAATGAAGAACAAAAGCATTCTATTTTTAAAATGTGGTTTTGCAACTAATTTTGGTTTCTTTCTCTGGTTAAATAGCTTCCTACGGTCAAAGATTCTCCACAGCCTGTTGAGGAGAAGGTTGGTGCCCTCACAAAGATAATAGAAGCCATGGGATTCACAGGACCTTTGAAATACAGTAAATGGGTAAAGTCCTTTAAGTTCTTCTCATTTTTCCTTTTGGGTTTTGTCCTTTTTGCTCCTCATAGAGGATTTATTTATTTATTTTTACTTTTAAAAATAACTTTATTATGTATATTTGAGATATACAAAATATTAATGAAATTCAGAGATAAACACAACTTCGTACAGATTAGCCATATGTACCATCTCACACTGTTGTTTCACTTGTGTGGCAAGAGGAGCTAAAATCTCTTTAACAAAAACTATTACCTATTTCTTAATCTATTTTTTTTTCATTTTTGTGTCAATTGAATATTTTTACCCAGTTCTTCTCCCTCCCTCCTTCTGTTAAACCACCACCACCCTGTAATATATCTAGTATCTACAGTTGCCCTCCCTCCTATTATACCTTATGATCTTTCAGTTTCTGTTAATTCTATGTTCTTTTATAAGCAAGAAATCAGCTTCTTATTTCAATAGATCTTTTTGGATCAGCCCGTGGCCCAGCGGTTAAGTCAGCTGGATCCCACATGACCTGGACCTGGTGGCTTGAAAAACACGCCCAAAGGAGGGAGAAACGGAGAAAAGATTGCAGTGGCACGACCATGCCCCATGGGGGGTGCTTTTGCTTTTTCTCCTGCCTAGTTTTGAGGATTTTTTAAAGTTTCTGCTTTGCTTTTTATGAAATTCTTACATTATTTGTTCAAAATGTGCCTGTCCCTTATCCACTACTTCCAAGTTAGATCTACCAACATGTGGGGTTGAAATACTCCCTCAGCCTCATTCCTTGGAAGTAGCTCACAGTCGCAGGCACAGCAATAAGTCTGGACTTTCCAGGTCTCAGCTGCATGGTATACCATACAGATGAGTTCTAAGGAGTCAGATGGGCCATGTGTTCTAATGAACAGCATTCTTTTTTAAGTTATTTCATTTATTTATTTAATTATTGTATTAACTTTTTATTTATTTATTTATTTATCTTAATTTGATCAGAGAGGGGAGAGAAAGTGAGAAAGTAAGCTGCCAGGTCTGGGACTCAACCAAGGCATGTGGGAGCCCAGCACCTTAGCTATCACGCCACGTGCCGGCCCTGAGCAGCATTCTTAAAGAAGCGTGCATTACTCTGATGAATCCGTATATATAAGTGATATTTATCAGGTCATTATAATGACTTTCCTTAAAATTTTACTAATAAGTACTATTTTTAGCTAATTAAGGCTGTTATTTATTAATATTCTTATTATGGAAGGGTATTTGTTAGCTCCTTTGTTGTATTACTCCTAGTCAATTTTTTTTTTGAGAGGTTTTTGCTATAGGGTGCATACGCTCGCCAGAAAGACAGAAAATGAGAAATCACCCCCCAGGGGGGACGGCCACGCCTCAGTCCCTTCTCTTCCATTTCCTCTCGGGATCTTGAGCACATATGCACACGCGACCGGTGTGAGTTTAAACCACCAGGTCTGGGACTCGAATCACAGTAGACTACATGGCAGTCCAGCGACATAGCCATTACGCTAACTGCTGGTCCCACTCCTAGTCAATTTTTGCCCTAGCACATTATCTGTTATATAGTAATTGCTCTAAATGAACAAAAGTCCTCACAGCATCAGGCACATACTGCCCCTGGGCTTCTGTAACACCTTTAACCAATTTAAGTAATAAACCATTAGTAGTTCAGTTTTTCTCAGCCCAGTTCTCTCTCTCTCTTTTTTTTTTTTTTCCTTTTGAGAGAGATTTTTGCTATAGAATACTCCCCAGGGAGACAGAGAGAGACAGAAAGACAGAAAGTGAGAAATTCCCCTCAGGGGGATGGCCATGCTGTAATCTCCGTTATCTCTTGGTACTACCATTTCTTTCTTTCATTATGGAAAAGTGCTGTTTAATGCCTTTCAGGGTTGCCGAAATACTAGATAAGCCCATTTGGTCACAAATTATAAAATAACACAAGCCAACACAAAGTGATAGTGAAGGCTTCTAGAAAATATCAATTGCTGGGAGCAGCAGATGGCATGGTGGTGAAGTGCGCTGGACTCTGACATGGCCAGCTGCGGTTTGAGTCCCAGATCTGGCGACTTGCTTTCTCCCTTTCTCTCTCTCTCTCTCTCTCTCACACATGCTGTCCCTCTCTGGTCAGGTTAAAATAAATAAATAGAGTTAAATAAAACAATTCTTTGCTGAAATGACCAAGTTACATCATTTTAACAAATTGGATTCAAATTAGTTTCAACTTTAATATGGACTTCTAATTTTGGTACTTCTTGTAATGTCTGATTCTCTTCCTAACAAGTTTCAGTGTAACAAATATAAATTTTTTTTCTGTAATCTCTCTTTTACATATATTTTGAGAAATGAACAGTGATTCCATAAGCATCTTGTTCATAAGGGTGTTTGAAAAGTATAATGAGAACACAAATACCAAAAAGAATGATGTTCCTGATACCCTAAGGTTATGCAGTATCTTAATCAATAAAGAAATAGTAGTTTTGTTCATCAGTCATATTTTTTACATATTAATTCTTTTTTTTTTTTTGGAGAAGTTTTTGCTATAGGGCGCATGCACTTGCCAGACAGACAGAGAGAGACATAGAGACAGAAAGCGAGAAATCTCCCCCCGGGGGGGATGGTTACGCCACAATCCCTTCTCCCCCATTCTCCTCTCGGGATCTTGGGCAAGCACACACACACGCCCGGCGTGAGTTTTAAGCCACCGGGTCCGGGAGGCGAACCGCAGTCGACTACGTGGGAGTCCAGTGACATAGCCATTACGCTAACTGCTGGTTCCCTACATATTCTTGACAATTGATAATTATTGGTATATTTGGTAATGTTAGTAATTAGGATCTTTTCCTTCTCAAAAAAATTAGGTTATGATTATGGCATTTAGACTTAAAAACTTGAAATAATATGTTTTGTTTGAAAACTAGTAGTTAAAAGGAGAGGAAAATGAGCAAAAAGAAAGAAAAGAGAGAAAAACTTACTTTTTCATTTATTTCTTGGTGATTAGATTATGTTGGGAGGAGGGGGCCAGAGCAGGTGGCGTGGTGGGTTAAGGCGATGGACATTCCCACATGGCCGACCACGGTTCGAGTCCCTGGACCTGGTGGCTTGCTTTCTCACTTTCCTGTTCTCTCTCTCTCTGTTTCTCTCTGATCAAATTAAAAAAAAAAAAAAAGAATGAATAGATAAAATTAAATAATAAAAAATTTTAAAAGATTATGTTTGGATAATACCATACATTTTGCCTGGGCTTTATTTTTTTTTAAAAGAATTGTTTTATTTATTGTTATTATTTTTTAATTTGATGAGAGAGAGAGAGAGAGAGAGAGAGAGAGGAAAAGTAAGAAAGCAAGCTGTCAGGCCCAGTACTTGAACTGCAGTTGGCTATGTGGAAGTCCAGTGCCCTAACCACACACTGGCTCCAGGTCTGTTTTTTTAATGACCCTAGAGGGAAAATTGGCTACCATTTGGAGGATTACTAAGTCATTAAGAAAACTCCTTTACCTGATTTAGCTTAACTTAGCTTCTGATTCCTCTTGGTTCCTTTATGACCTTGACCAAATCCCTGATAATTTGCATTTAAAAAATATTTTGTGAGGCCAGAGGTGACATGGTGGTTATGGTACTTGTAGTCCCACATGGCTGAGCATGGTTTATGTCCCAGACCTGGTGGCTTGAAAATCACACTGGGTGCATATATGTGTGTGCCCAAAATCCCAAGAAGAAAATGGAGAAGGGGTTTTTAGATTTGTTACATCAAAATATCAAAGTATGACATTCTAGAATACATTAGGTGGAAAAATATAGGTATAACTTTATATTTTGAAAGACTGAGAGTCTTTTTCCCAGAAATGTTGACTCAAAAATCCATTAGATTTGTTAAAAACATTTTTAAAAGAATGATTTATTTAATTTTATTCATTCATTCATTTATTTATTTTTTTAGAATTATTTTACTTAACTTTATTTTATATATGTATGTATTTATTTCTTTATTTAAATTTGACCAGAGAGGGACAGAGTGAGAGAGAGAAAGTGAGAAAGCAAGCCACCAGGACCAGGACTTGAACCACGGTTGGCCATGTGGGAGTCCAGCACTCTTAACCACCATGCTACCTGCCAGCCCCTTCATTCATTTATTTTTTAATTTGACCAGAAAGAGACACACACAGAGGGGGAGAGAGAGAGAGAAAGAGAGAAAGTCAGAAAGCAAGCCACCAATTCTGGGGCTTGAACTGTGGCAGCCATGTGGGAGTGGAGTGTCCAGCACCTTAACCACCATGCCACCTGCTAGTCCCCAAAAATCCACTAGATTGCACCAGCAGAATTTATTGTTTTGTGTTTCCACATGTATTTCATTAGAGAGTAAAATGTCTCTCTGTCTGTAGTTAACAGTATCAACTACCTGTTCTCTTATCTTCTTTAACTTTTTCACATATATTTCCCATTTTTCTTCTAGAATTATATTAAGAATTTCATATATAACTTTTCCTTGCCTATTTGAATATCTTGAAATAACTGTTTAAAAAATTATTTATTTCATTTTATTTTTTGTTATTTTATTTTAAAAGTTTGACCAGAGAAAGAGAGAGAGAGGAAAGCAGGAAAGCAAGCTGTCAGATCTGGGACTTGAACCACAGTCAGTCATGTGGGAGCCCACTGCCGCAACCACCATGCCATCTGCTGGCCCAATAACTATTTTTTTAATTGCCAAAAGGTGCACACTCACCACAAAGAGAGAGTGAGTGCACGTATGCACATACCCTCATGGGGCATGGTTACACCTCATTCCTTTTTCCTCCATTCCTCCTTCCTGTGAGGATTTTGGGCACAAATACAAATATACACAGACACACGCAAATACATGTAGACACATACCCTGCATGTTTTTCAAGTTTCCAGGGTTAGGATTCAAACTCTGACTGGCCATGTGAGATCCAGCTCTATTAACTGCCTTGCCATGGGGCCAGCTCTGAAATAATCATTCTTTTTCATTGTTTTTATGTAGCAATATCAGATTAGATAAG